ATACTTCACGTGGTAAAAGTTCTAAACTAACTATCAAAAAACAACAACATGCAATTCTATTGGCGATCCTGCCAGGCACACACGCACTCTTCGGGAGCGTTACCATTTCTACACTTAAATCAATTATCAGCAAACTTTATTAAATTAAAATCAATTATAGGCTATATGGAATTCCTTGTAGGCTAGTCCTAACTTTGTTAAAAATTATCATAAATAAAACACCGAGATAAAACCAAAAGTCGCTTTGAAAAGTATATCAAAATGAAAAATGGATGGATTAATAAATATTTCAAACATATAAAATAACAATTAACATAACTGGAAAAAATAGTCATGCCTTATAATCAGCCATCTCAATGCAGATAATATATGAAAATCCGTCTAATCAAGTAACAATAACAAAAACAATTAACAGATTCGTGCCAATTAATTAATTATCGGACTATGGATTTTTCATAGTTTATGCTTGCTTCAAGCAACTGCATACCCCTCTCTCGTCAGTAAACATAGGTCGGAAGAAATCATCATGAGATTTTGACATTGTACTTGAGGCAATTTTCATGAACTATAAAATGAAGACCGCCGTAATTAATTGTTGAACACTCATTTAACCTGCGATATATTGCCTGTGTTGTAACCAATTTCAATGGGAACCCGTAAAACAGAAAACAAATATATTATACAATATATTAAGAACGGAATGATAAAGTATGAAAATTCCCCTCATTCGTTGGATGCACTTTCCGTGCTGATTTTATTTGCCAGTCACATAAAGCTCAGGACGCATGGACTCTGTCAGATTTCCCAGATTTCCCCTGTCATTCTTATTTCCAGTATCGGGAGATTTAACCAGTAAAATGTTCCGATCGTCACAACATCCGATGGACCGAGAGGTTTCACAGGTTTATACATGCAGCACTTATTATTGGAAGGATATATGGAATGTACATGCATACTGTGCTGAATATACATGTACAGTATGCATGTATGAATCCGTGAAATCTCTCGGTGTATCGAATGTTGCGACGATCGGAACATTCACTGGTTTAATCTCCCGACACCATTGTGTGATCCACAGCAAGTTTTATCCTTTGGAATACCAAAGGGTTAGATAAAGTGAGACTCCGATAGATCTGAATGTCCCGACACGGGAATCAGAATGACAGAACAAATATAATTTTGAATACCATGGCCAGAGACTAAATCTATGAATGGGAGGTAGGGAATCGCACAATTCTTTAATTCCAATGCTGCCCTTGTGTTTTATCAACGTTATACAATGAACGATGCAAACAAAACAGATCGTACAGTCGTAATGAAACTTATTCTAATTCTAATTCCTACATGAAATCTCACCACCAAAGACTGGTGACATTTGAAAGACTTTATCCAAATCGTGTAATTCAAAAAAAACAAATCAAATCAAAATTAAAACATGCAAACATGTATATCTGCTTATGGAGGAATATCCGAGAAAATGTACATGTGTGACGCTGGTTTTCAGTCCCGGGTTTTCAGTCCTACATCGCCGCTTAATACCTGAAAAGCAACTAACTTATCTGCTTATTATAAGCATGGACCTATATTATAAGTTATCAAATAATTTAACAATGAAACAGAAACACAATGCATGCCAAACATTTATCTATATTATATTTTGTATTTTGCACTTGTATCGAGCAGCTGTGTAGGCAAGATTCACAAACTATATCTCCATGGGTTATAACTTGAAGAACGCCACTGACGGGTCTGTGCCCTTTAGGATGGGCCGTATTGTTCTTGTTGGTATCTTACCCACGGGAACCTACAAAACAGAAAATATTTAATTACATTGTGAAGAGGAAGTCCTGTCTATATAAAACTCCCTAGAATAAGATACAAGCAGTATAAACATCCATATTTGCAAAAATTTACGATAAACCACTGTCAGTTAGTAGTTGTAGTATCATATGCGTATAGCTTTTCGAAAAGTTGATAAAACGCAAAATATGATTGGAATATTTGCTGAAGTCTGGGATCGATGACCTGATAGAAATTGAGGGAAAGCGTTGAATCATAATAATTGAATGTTAGAGCAAAACAATAATAATTGCAATTTATGTTTATCATTACAATTATTCCCTGAAATCAAGAATAAAATGTTACTTTCTTTAGATACATGTATCTGTCGCATTTGCTTAACCTGAAAGGCTAGTTCCGGGGGATAGTTTAGTCAAATTGACGAATTTCTAAAATGACAAATCATCATACTGCGAGTATCTTTTGATTCTTTTCCACAGAGGTACGCTGATATCCGATCTAATATCGTACTTCAATATTTTTGTTTTTACGAAATGGAAATAAGATCTTTTATGTAAACATCCGCATTTCAAATTAATTTTGATATATCCTCAGATTATCATAGAATAATTCTGTGAATCCCAAGCACAACCCATTACAATTAAATGGTCTATCAGTCAATCTGTATTACAACAAATGAATAACAATCCTGAAAATATTTCAAATATATTTGTCTTTGAATGTCGGAATAAAAATCATCGACGGTCCAACTTCAACGTACAATCTACGTGTGCGTACAGACATGATGACAGACTTATCATTTGTCCTCATTGTGATTTGCCCGTCTGAAAGATTATTTTATAAATTATGGTACAGAATGCTCTATAAAAGGATTTCTACATTTTTAAAACGGCAATAATAGTTATTATTGAAAAAAAACTAGTTCTAAGTATACTTATTTATTGAATTGTTTCAAGAATATAACTTAATAGTGGACACAAGTTTTACCCGCTCAAAACATAATCTAACTCTCAAGAAATATTATTATGAGTTTATCGATGTTTTCTTGGATCCTCCGATGTACAGGTAAGTTGCACAATGCATTGATGTACACTGTACGCCGACAGAAATGCCGTCCCGATGACTTAGCCGATCGGCAGAACAATACCGATGGCGATGCCTATCGGAGTGTTTCCAAAAAAGAAAACACCGTGGATTATATACAATTTGAATTCAGTTACATGTTCTTGGTGTGTATTATGGATTTTTCAACTGATAAACTTACTACCAATTTATTCATTTAAAGTATCGAGCATAATTAGTGAGCCAATGATTAATTACGACCGCATACAGTATAATGGATATAAAAACGCCCAGTTCAATTACAATCTAAACAAACTTGCTTTCATTTCGTGCTCACTGTGAATTCTACCGCTAAGCATATGTACAGTGCATACATGTATAAATTACAATCTGATAACTACATCGGTCGTATAGCGCATGCTAAGCGCTAGCTAAGCAGTAGAATCGCTGTCGCTGTGAGCACGAAGAGCGCTCGGCGTACAGACGAAGAGCGGGCGTGCAGCGGTCGCGATGCACGCGTAGAGCAGCCGGCATCTCGACGGCATGGCATGGTGTGAGCTTTGAAAATACTTGTACTGTACATGTATGTGAATGGTGAAAAACTGCATTTCTTTAAAGAATTGTTGGCCAGGGGAAATGCGTAATATATTAATTGAATATCAAGCAGTTCCGTGTCATGACTGTTTTTGGTTGGCAAAGTGAATAGTACAGGTGGTTGTACGTACCTGTATAAGAGGGGGGTTTAAATGTTGTTTGTTGTAAACTTGATGTGACAGAGAAACAATAGAGTAAAAATGTGAGGAAAACTCATTAATTAAGAATAAAAAATTAACTTTCCAATGGATTGATCGATTGAATCCCAAATTTAACACAATCTTAATCATAACTCGAGGGACATTATTCAATCAAATAAATATGTAAAAACTTAATTTGCAAATAATTTTTGAGAAATAAGAACCATCAGCTGTAGAAATTAATCCTAACAAACGGATTAATTAGTGTGAATGAAACTCATTTCATAGGAATTGAATACTTAGGGATTAACGGCTCAAAAATAAACGCATTTAATCCGGTTTTGATTGCAAATGCCAACACATAATTTGCTCCTGACTAGAATATTATTCTATATTATATGGCATTATATGTTGTTCCCTTCAAATAATACACGATTAATATTATTAAATAAAAATTAATTTTTAAAAATAGTTTTTATATCTTATTTCGCTATAATACAGAAAATAACTGCTTACCATACAGGAAAAAATATTCTCTACGATTCCCTCTTATTGCAACTATATTAAACATTTTATTCTATATTATTTTTACTTCAATACCAAGTGAATTGAAAAATGTAACTTTGCACTGACTTAATGAAATGAATCCAAAATTTAACACGGTGTTAATTATAATTCGACTGTCATTGTCCAATTTAGTAAAAGTAAAAAGCTTAATTTCTAAATGACTTTTTGATGGAAATTTGAACCCTCAGTTATAGAAATGACCAGATTAATCTAAACAAGCGAATTAATTAGCATTGAAAACAAAATACATTCAATGCTGGACTTTGCTTTTAATCTGTTAAAACAACAAACTCGGGAACTGAAGCTATTACGTAATATCGCGTATAAGACGCGTATAGTTTGTTTTGAGGTAGAATAAGAGAAGAATAAGTCAAGTATAGTTTGATATAGTCTGTTTTTATTTAATATAAGTTGTTTTTTGCCGCATATAGTAGGTTTGATTCCTACTTTGAGGCGTATAAGTGGAAAATAGTTCAGTAAAGATATACACTCTGCAATGATATATGCAACTTATTTTAGTTTATATGGGCGTACCGGAGAGTATATCGGGACTTATATTAAAGTGTTCCGTTTTTAGGAATATGGGAGAAACTATTCTCGCCCATATTTTAGGTGAAATTCAAACTATATGGGGGTTATTCTAAAAAATAGTTTGCTATAGTACAAACTATATTTGGCTTTTTTCACAGTGTAAAAACATAATATGGAAGTGAATGGCTAGTCTTATCAACTAACATATTCTATATGTTCTTACTGGGTAATTTGTGTAATATTCCTTATTTTGTTTATCTAAACACATTCGTGAATTTCAAAGGTAAAAGAGATATCAAAACGTACATCACATTCTACATCACAATGGTCGCCTTGGTAACCAGGGGAACAAACACAAGTGCCATCTATGTTGTCGCAGCTACCATGTACACAAGCACATTCCCGGGAACAGTTAAGACCATATGTAAGATGTGGACAGGGCTGATCGCAAATCATACCTCTCCAGCCTAAAATATAGCAAACATTTATTTTACAGTATTTTTGAAAATTATTTCAAAGTCTATAGATAATGTTTATAAAACTGTATTTGATGATTAAGGTAAAAAATTGCCAAAAATATGATATTTTTCAGTGGTTACACAAACACTGATTTTGATATTCTATGAATATAATGGTTACCACGGAATGAGACAATATGTTACCTGGAGCACAGCTGCATACACCGTTCTCATGGTTACAGTCGCTGTCATGTAAACACTGACATCTTTCAGCACAATTTAATCCATATGTGTCATTGCTACAGGCCCGTTCGCAACTAAAATGGAAACAAATAAAGAAATACTAAAAATGTTAAAGACGGACACATATGTTTGTTTTTTATTTACAAGTATTGTGCACAAGTAAGATAGCATGAAAATTGATTTGATTTTATTCTAATCATATTTTAATGTCTGCAAATATCTAATTAAATAATCGGCTGAACTGAAGTTTATTTGAACTGATTACTTAAAATTCCTGTGAAGCGGAACACCTCTGTAGATAAGACACTTCAAAGGCGTGCCATTAGCGGAACACTTTGAGGTACTTACACAGGTTGACCTGTACAAACTCTCTAAATTATACTGTTATATATACACTTACTATAGACCTGTATATCCAGGAGCACATATACATGTTCCATCAATGGGGTCGCAATACGCCCCATTAGTACAGGGGCACTGTAAGCCACATTGGTCACCATAGAAAGGAGCAGGACATGGGTCGGTACACTGGGGTCCTGACCACCCAGGCTGGCAGATGCACTCCCCAGTGGCTGGGTGACATGCCTTTGAGTACTCTCGGTGACAATTACAAGTCTCGCTGCACTCTGGTAGACTAAAGTGAAATTGTGGACAAACTGAAAACAAAGAGAATCATGATAATCAAATATCAATGGATCACGCTAATTGTTACCATGGTAGCAGAAACACAATCTAATCAACCTCTAGTTTCCAAGGTACCAACATACCACTTATTTCACAATGGTGGCCCGTGTAGCCCTGTGCACATGCACACCTGCCATCTGTGTGACCACATATGGCGTCATTAACACACTGGCAGACTTCCGTACAGTTTTTCCCGTATCTATTAGGCGTACACTCCTCTTCACATCTGGAACACAAAGTATAAAATTCATAATTCATTCAGTGAAATAAGGAATATTTTCAAAGAGTATTAACATTTCATAGGCGTAGCCATGGGGGATATAGAAGAAAAGAGCTTTAAAATGCTTTTTTTGAAGGAAGTAACATCAATTTTTGTAAAATTCAAAACAAATCTTTAAAAATAAGATCATGGCAATCTGAGGAGGAATGATGGAGTGAACACTTTGATGACAATTAAGGGTGTTGCCAAGATAAAACATTGGGATAACATTGTTTTAAAATTAGCAAGGGGATCAAGCAGGTTAAGGCAGAAAATGACTGCCTGTAGAAATGCCGTGGTCACATTTGCTCCGATTTTTAACACCAGCGCCTGGCCGGTGAGTATTTTGTTCAAAATTGAATACAATTTTGAAAAAATACTCAATCGGCCGGGCGCCGTAGTAAAAATCGAAGTAAATGTGACCACAGCATTAGTTGAACATACTTATCCCTTAAAATTAAGAGTTCAAAAACAAACCCCATGGTGTAAAACTTGAGCACTGAGTACTCTTGATCAGAAACTATTCTTTAATTGAAAATTAAAATGTTTGTGTTACCTGTCTCCAATGTAGCCATCGGGACAGGAACATTTTCCATACTCTGGGTCACAGGTGGCGCCATTGTAACAGCTGCAAGTCTCTCGACACTCTGGACCATACAGACCCTGGGGACACCTAACGGCACATGCAATACCCTGCAAATATCAACATTAAAACCCTGCAAATATCAACATTAAACCCTGCAAATATCAACATTAAAACCCTGCAAATATCAACATTAAAACACTGAAAATATCAACATTAAAACCCTGCAAATATCAACATTAAAACTCTGCCAATTTCAACATTAAAACCCTGCAAATATCAACATTAAAACCCTGCAAATATAAACATTAAAATCCTGCAAATATCAACATTAAAACCCTGCAAATATCAACATTAAAACCCTGCAAATATCAACATTAAAACCCTGCAAATATCAACATTAAAATCCTGCAAAATCCTGCAAATATCAATATTAAACCCTGCAAATATCAACACTAAAACCCTGCAAATATCAACACTAAAACCCTGCAAATATCAACATTAAAACCCTGCAAATATCAACATTAAAATCCTGCAAATATCAACATTAAAACCCTGCAAATATCAGCATTAAAACCCTGCAAATATCAACATTAAAACCCTGCAAATGTCAACACTAAAACCCTGCAAATATCAACATTAAAGCCCTGCAAATATCAACATTAAAGCCCTGCAAATACTGGTATTAACATTGAAGTCAATAGAGTTATCACAGTAAAAAGAGCCCAGCCCACAGGAAAAGGGGTCTTAAAACAGATTTTTTTCAATATTCTGATAGTTTTGTTTATCTTAAAGGAGCTCAGAGCTAGAAAATATGCTCTAAAGCTGATTGGAAAAACTTTTTAACATGTAAGTAAGTTCAATAAAGCATGTGATTCCATTTAAGCACAAACATAAAACCGAAACACTTTTGAAAATGGAACACCTCAAAAAATGAAATACCTCCATGGGGGTGCACTTTAAGTCCTGTAACCAACTGATATCAAACAAATGAACCTCTGTAAGTGAAACACCTTTCGAGTGGAACATTTCTTTGCAATAATAAAGGCGTTCCACTTGTACATGTTTTACTGTATTTGTTTCTTCTTACCTGCCACCCAGGTTTACAGATGCAGAAGCCTCTTTCGTTACATTCTCCTCCATTCTGACAGATACATCGCTGTCTCCCACAATCTGGGTTATCATCGGGGCATCTCTCTGTGCACCTACGAGAAGGAAACTGTTATTAATAAACAGTGGAAGTAGCACATATGATCCATGTGCTAAACATTTGCAGGTTAAGACACAATATAAAAGTCTGTTTGGCAGGAATCTCTTAGGAAAGATCACATGCACACCAGATTTTGTATATTTAATTTGATGTCAAATGATGAAAAGTTACAATAGAAGAAAAAACATCGTGTGATCCTACATTAATTTTAAACCACAACTTTCTGTGATCCAAATATCTTGTGACCCAATTAAGAATCACCAATTTGAAAAACAAGTTTTTGCCCTTTATTGTGTTACCAATCAGCCTTTTGAGCCTAGAGTAAATGTAACAATGAAAAATGGGCATCTTAACACAGAAAAGAGGTCCACCCAAAAGATATCTGTCCCGTGACACCTCTACTATTTAAACTGCATACAGATTGCACTCTATACTTACAAAGGCCCAGTCCATGTTCTATCACAGTAACATTGCCCACTGCTTGCATCACATGTTGCTCCATTCTGGCACATACACAGCGAGGTACAATGGTAGCCAAAGTAACCCTGAGAACACGGGATATTACAGTACTCCCCCGTCCAACCTGGAATATAAAAACACAAATGGCTAGATTAGAAGACGAATACAGAGTCCAGTGAAGTACAGAACATGGTATATAACAGATATTACAGTATTCCCCTGTCCAGCCTCGAATTTAAAAATACAAAGGGCAAGATAAGAAAACATACACACACTGTGAAGTACAGTGGTAGTCAAAGCAGCAACACCGAAAACATGGGATATTACAAAAGAAGACATCTGCTGCTATAATTTATGACAAAAAATTGATAATAAAGGGACAGGTAGATGATGTAAATGACAAAGAGATCAGGGATGAAAGGACTTCCAAATACAATATCATCCCAGTTGAAAGTATTTCAGATATTGACAAAAAAATAAAAGCCATTGATTTAGTATTTAAAACACACTCATTTTTGACTGCTCCCTTCCAACTTTGGCAGTACATATTCATAGCTGTGATTCCATGCAAAAGTCTGGAATTTAAACAGGTTAAGAAATGTAGATGTAATGTCTTAGCACAAACAATACTTTTTTTTAAAAATCTGAACTCTTGTGGCTGTCTCATTATTCCCTGCTTTCAATATCTGAGTTCTTCTTGACAAATCCAAAACACTTAAACTCTCTCATGATCATTTTATGGAAGTTCAACTTGAAACATTCTGAACTTATGAGAAAATTTGTGGAGTACTATAAAAGCCCAAATTTTCACTGACAAAAAAATTCACTATTTTGTCAATCTGAAATGTTTCATGGGCGTAAAATTTCACTGTTTGAAGAAATATCCAATTGAATTCAATGTTGAATCAAATATTCACTATGCCTTTAATTTCACGGTCAAGCCTCTTCAGCGAATATAGTGAAAATCGGGGCACCTTGAAAACTTGGGCTTTTACCGTACTAGTTTACATTCAATTTGGGCAACACATATGCCAAAATGTTTTAATTACCAATTTACTCAATATTATGAATAGTCAAGATGTAAACAATACACAAGATTGTCTGCTACATTTTGCAGTTTCATAAACACTGCTCTGTTTACAAAAAGATGAAATGTTTTGGAGCACATTAAAGAAATGAAAAATCAACATTTCAATGAGAGAAAAACAATTACACAATACGGTTGTAGTTGAAAAAGATATATTGAAACTATGAAAATGTGGGAACTCTTTTTATAAGTGAATGGATTGAATATTTTGATACTCTTCTTCACTGATGAATTTTCATGGAAAGCCTGAGCCACCATGATTGTGATAAACGTGGGTGCGGACACTGATCCATCATCTAATAAACAACATTTCTTTATCAGGTTCAATTTCATTCAATCTTACTACAATGAAAGGTAAGAGAGTGAATACCGTGGTAATAACAAACAAATGGTCATACTTTGAAATGGGAAAATCATAAAAAAGAGAGATCGCAGCAAGAAATGAATATATAGACACATAGCTAACTCTCTAAATTGTATAGTAATCCTAGAAAATTGCAAACTTCATTCAAAAATTTAAGAGAAATTACGCAGAATCTGAAAAAGCGACAATTCAAAGCAACTATTATCTAAATATAATGAAAGAAAAGTGCTGGTATCATACTGAGTTTATATAAACATTAAAGGCAGACTTTTTCACTTCAAAGAAAGTGCAGAAAGTTTCTTAGATAAACTAGTGGTGAATTGAAACCCATCAAAATATATCACCGAGGTAACAAAAGTTCACTATTTTCTCAAAATAACCAAATGACTCCATCCTTATCTTACACAGCTTTTCGATATCCTTTCATTCATTTTTTCTTTACCGATTCATTTATTTCAAGATTGTAATTGCTGGATTTAAAGATAGAATAACTTATCTCAAGCATCTTAAAAAATCTACAACATAAAATGCTAAAATTATTCAAGATTGAAAGTACTATAATATTTTTTCAAAATAATACGATAGGAAATCCACATTTATAGAAAAATGGACACATTGATATGCCTTAAACGTATGAAACATGCGGGTGATATAAGAAAATAGATAGGCCAAGGAATATGAACCAAAATACCATAAAATAAACAAAACAATTTTTTGAAAGGTTGCTATTAAGACCCGATTCTATCCATTTTTATCCTAATTTCTTCAACCTGTAATTTTCATCCTTGGTCCAAGGATTCACTTCCTTTTCTTTTGAAAAATAAATAAACCCCTTTGATGAAGGATGGTAATTTTCTCCAGATTTATTTTGTTTATTTGTTGTAAGTTTGTTTATTGTTTATTCCCAGTTGTTTTGAAAGATCAGTTCTACCTGTGGGTTTATATCTAATGTAAATCAAAATGTTTCAACTTGGGTTTAGTGTAAATATACCATTAGGTAAGGGGTCGTATCAAATACATAACATCCAGGTAAAATATGATACTCATGTTTGTGGCCTTTTTGACTCCACCCCCACAAAGCTCACATTCGGGGTAAGGAACATGGGGGTGGGGGTCCAGGGACATGCATAAGACGAGTAAAAAGAAGTATAACAATTATCTTAATGATGGCAAGTGTAAATCAAAAATGATTCAATCACTGAAGAACCTGTATATCCGAGCTCCTGAATATGAACACCTCTCAAGACAAACACCTTTTTCTGTCCATATTTTCATCCAGCATTGATGAGCATTCGCTAAAAAAAACTCAAGATGTGAACAGTGTTCAATCACTGAAGAACCTGTATATCCGAGCTCCTAAATCTGAACACCTCTCGAGACAAACACTTTTTTCTGTCAATATTTTCATCCAGCATTGATGAGCCTTTGTTAAAAACAAATCAAGATGTGAACAGTACCTTCCATTTTAAACACTTTTGGCCAGTCCTAGAAGCATACAGATTAGACAGGTTTTACTGTATAACATCATGAAAAATTTGAAATGAAAATGTGTGTCAGTCCAGTTTCTAGGTTTCTGTGACTCGGGTCAATCTGATTTCTGTACACATTATAAATAACTAATTATGACACGGCAAGGTAGGATTCTCAGTCAAATTTACTTTACAATTTAAATAGATTTTATTGCAACTCCTAGTTACAACAAATTTGAACAGAAAATTTACGACATGTCAGCTTAATAATTTCCGCAGACATAAAAAATACTTTTATCACCAAAAAACTGTTTAGTATAACCTGACTTACACGAAACTGGAGACTATTGTCAAAAGTGTTCGGATTTGCACTTGTTCATACTTCAAGTTTTCTAAATGTGAATCAAAATGGGAGAAGGCATTAACTTGCAAAATGTCACTACCTGCCATTTGTTACAGAAAACTTCAAGTTTTCTAAATGTGAATCAAAATGGGAGAAGGCATTAACTTGCAAAATGTCACTACTTGCCATTTGTTACAGATGCAGACTGCTGACATACGAACTACCAACCATCGAACACTGAACACCATCCACAAAACTTTACGGACTTTAACAATATGCCTCCACTTCTGGTGGTAACATGATAATAAAATAATGGGACTGCAAGTTTTCACATTGAGAGATGTTAGAATTTAAGAGATGTTTGGATATACAGGTTTTACTGAACTTAATTTAATATCGTAGACTTTGGTTTTGACATGCTGAAGTGGAATTCCCTGTCAGTTTTATTTGTCTTCTCTCGTTTTTATTGTAATTGCAAATAAGGTAATTAATACCACCTGCCCAAAGAAATGTTAAACAGATTTGATTTTGAATTATGACAAAGAAACAATAAACAAACAAAAAGAAATGAGAGGATTATCCTAAATATGAAATTACATCTGATGTAATTTATTCAAAAATGTTGATCTTTTAAAGAAAAACACAAAATATTTATGCGATGATAAAATTCTTGAATAGGCAGAGTCATCATCAGTTTTGTTATATGACCTGAAGGAAATCTGACACGTGAACATTTGCTTTTCCCTCCAACTTGTCGTTACTACAAGCGCCAAGTGCTTCGTCTATTTGATCGCAAGAGTAATTAGTTCCGTCTTTGATAGCTCGACAAGTTGAAAAAAGTTTTACCTGTGCACAAAACCTAAAACATGATCAAAAACTCTCACTGTATTTTTCGAAAATTAATATCACAATTAAATTTTTTGTTTGTTACAATTTGGAGATTTTCTCTAAAATTTGTAGACTCTGTTTAATCCATGTCTGCTCTATGTGCAGAATTGTAAAATATAACTTAATGGTCCTGATGAATTTTTCTGCTCAGGGTGGGACAAGATCTAATCCAATTGCTAAGTGAGTGATGAGTGGGAACCCATGCAATGTGCAATCATTGAATAATTATGTCATCATATAATTCTGCAAGCCTTGACTGGAATACCAATACATAGTACTATCTACCTGGGCTTGATTTTGCTAACTTCGTATTATTTATCTCTTAAGTTTGAGAAACTGTCCGATATTCTGGCATTTCAATACTTTAATTGGTTATCAGATTTTCAAATCATAATTTCCAGAATTTTCCCTAATTGAAAGATGAAATTCTCTGACAAATACATTTTTATAAATTATTTTATCAACAAACAAGTAAGACAAATTATGTTTTCTGACTGTATGAATGTGATCATAGTAGCTTTCATGAGATTCTTATCAGGTATTATATGAAATATTCATATCATAGATCAGCCAAGATTACTCAAATCAAATCGTTGTGAAATCTCTGCACTCAATCAAGATCTAGAGATTGTGAATAAACCAAGGTGTTTGATTGGTTAAAGCTCTCTTAATTAATATATATTCGATGTGGAAAATAAGGAAGTGAAAAGAAGATGAACGGCTTTGTATTTAATTGAAACTGAATTTTATAGAAACCAAAAAAATCTGGCTTTCTTAAAACATTCCTATTATCACACACAGAATTTATTTAGTAGAGTCTACAGTTTTCTGGTTCATGACTGTGACAGTGAAATACTTTATCTTAATAAAAGTCAACACAGTTGAGATGAATAGGAAGAAAATAGATAAGCACATAAGGGTAAACACTATCTATAAAGATAAAGAATGGAGCATTGGGCAGGGAGGCTACCCTTTTATTAGGAGATAACTGAAAAAGTCTGTACAGTACTGTTAAACCATTTAAAGTTAATTGGGAGCTTATAAGATTCTCAAAAATGAAGATGTTTATCTTAAGCAAGGTTTTTGAATTTGTAATAGAAAAAGAAAAAGTACCCTCTAATTCCAATTCTGGGCAGTTCTGTTTTTGGGTCACTCTGTATTTGATAAGGCACACATCACCACATTGAAAAAAACATTCAAGATGAAATCCTCAGACAGTTATCTCTAAATACGTGCTGATAAGTCAATGTTCTGCATCAGTTCTTTTCCTTCTTGCGTGCCAAACAAAAAGCAGACAAAGGTCTCGTTAATTCTTTTGATTTATCCAATTAGAAAAATGTTTGTTTCTTATCAAAGTGGCTTGTTTTGTTACTTTTTCATACGTCATCGCTATCATTCCTGACTTTTATTCTTTCAGAGTTTTGATAAAGTTTAGTCTTTGTTTCTTCAAACAAATCATTAAATTGAAAAGATCATTTCGATTTTTCTGTTAGATGCTATACACATACAGAACATTAGGGATTTTCTCAAGATTTGTATCTATCTATTTTGTCATCTGCTTTATAACTCTATTTGGTAGACATTAGTTTCATAAACCTCTCGTTATTACGAGAAAAAATGTCACAATGACAAAAATGTCACAATGACAAAAAATTATATTTAAACACTTATTTATCTGTCAATGCCATTAACAATCATTCTTCAGCAATTTCACAACAAAAACAAGAACTGATGAGACAAATCACATATACAGTCTTCTGACGTTTTAACAAATCCCACTTTCTGTTTGACATGCTTTATCGGAAGCTAGCGACTTAAAGCTCCTATCATAGATTAGTGAAGATTTAGAATGTACAGTGACATTTTTCACAGTGAATCATGGGATCATCCATTTGAGACTGATTTATTGTCATGGGGATTAATACTTTAAACTTCTACTTTAACTTTAAGTACCCTTACAAATATGACAAGCACGATTTTTTCATGGTTATTAATCCCTAGAAATTCTTGAGATGCCACATAAATGATTTTCAACATAAATTCATTGATATTAAAATCTATTCAACAGTTTCATCTTTTCTCTTAAATTGGGTCTTAGTTTTTTGGCATTTTTGCCCTTAAAATGATTTTTTATGTGGACAGCTCAAATTTAAAAAAAAATCCAAAACATTGGTGTGAAGGTTTAAAAATTGCCATGCCATTCTCCCTTTTAAACTTCCAGAGCTGCCCCTATAAAATATAAGGCACAAAATAAAAATTAGATTCACCTACCTGGCAAACATTGACAAGACCCCTTGAATATGTCACATTTGGCTCCGTTCTCACAGTAACACTGATTCTTACAGTTAGGCCCCCACTTGTTCTGTGGACACTCTGAAAGCCCAAATTGTTTCTCCTGCTTTTATCATAACCTAGCTAGATTAAAATTTTAAGCTTGTATTGATTCTCGATCTTTGGAACACCCCCCCCCCCTTCTCATTATCTGTTGGTAGGTGTGTATGGTGAGGTAGAGGTTGCAAGTCTTGAAACAAAACCTAATTTCAAAAGTACCAGTACTATGCTATAGAGGTTGAATATATCAATGATAAAATAAAATATATTCTAAGAAATTCTATTCGACATTTTCAGAAAACGTGTATTTAGATATATTTACGAAAAAAGTATAATATGCAATACAAAAACTTTTTACAAGGATTTTACTGAGTAAGAAGTTTGGTTAACTTACGTGCTGAGCATGTTGCCCCCTCCCATCCAGTCTCACAATGACATGTATTTGGTGCTATACATTGCCCATGTACACATTGGTTACCACATATAGCTGCAAATAAAGATAAAGATAATATCACTTATTTAACATACTACCCCCTCCTATCCACTCTTTGAACTAAGGCACAAATTTCTAGACTTTTTGGACAACCCTCGTATCATAAGTCATGTTTTCTATATGCTAAACTCGTATTATCAACACTGGCCAATCACATACAATGCAAGAAGGCCCTTTAAAAAGCAATATTTTTATTCACAGTAAGTTAAATACAAGAACCAAATGTGTAAAAATGTCTAATATTGTATTCAGAACACAATATCCCAATGAGAAAAGCATCTTGGATTTCAAAGGTATGAAGTTTTCATATGTGATTGAGCATTAAGCATTAGTACGTTGGGAAAGGCATGTGAATCATAAGTCTTAATTCTAGTTACAGACTCAGGACTACATCTGATGAGTCAATATAATGTTGTTGTTGTCCTATTCTCACTTTTGATTATATTAATCGTCATGGAGACATGTCATATTCAGTGCCAAATCCTAATGAGGTGACATGCTGTCACTGATGCCTTGTGGTTGTAATTCAATTAATGGAATATTATGTCACCATAACAAGATCGTATCTAGGGGGAGGTTTGATCCCCCTGGCCAAAAATTCTTTCAACATCATGCAGTTTTTCATCATTATGAGCACTTTTTAGGTGATTTTGGCCATTTTTGAACCAAAATTGTCAAAAGTGAACCCCCTGGAATTTTTCAAAAAGTGAACCCCCCCCCCCCCTTAGCAAATCCTGGCTATGGGCCTGCCATAATGTGATCCCAATATTATGTCATTAATACAGTGTAGTGACACCTGTCTAATCCCAATACCACTGGGACTGTACCATGCCCAGTCAAAAGTCCATATGGATAAACAAGGGTGTTCACAGTTTAATGATTGTAATATGGGTGATCAATTGGGGATAACAAAAAATGGTACTGAGAAAAAGTGTTGAGAGGTGTTCAGATAAGAGAGGTGTTCAGAAATATAGAGGTCTTACAATGTACAGTATCACTAATTTACATCATCTTAGTTACTTTAATAAAGAAGATAATAAGGAAATTAAACAAATCTATTTTAAATCTGAGCAATTCAAATATGTGTAATAATATAAATAACAATGAAATATCAGAAATGTCAAAAATATTTAACAAAGGGATTGAAAATGTTGACAATAATCAAGAAATATTTTGGCAGGGACACCTTAATGGTTTAATTATTGTTTATGGGCCCTGAATAATTAACTTTTCCGTATTTGCTGTCAAATTGTCCCTTAGTGTATATCAAAAAGTAGTGGCACCAGGCACTTAGATTGTCTTCATTTCACCGGTCCTGGCTTAATTTGTACTGTTTTGCAAATATGAACACCCTTAATCTGAACACCTCTTAATGTGAACACTTTTCAGTCCCATTTTTGCCATGTAAAAGAAACCTTGAAATATGAACACCTACCAATAAGAACACTTTAGTCCCAAAGAGAGTGTGAACCTAATTGCATATTGCTCAAAATCGTGATATAATGTGATTTTTTCAGAAATGAAATATTTGAGAAAATAACATAAAATATGTAAAGTGACAAAAATTGTCAGTTTAGTATTTTTAAAGGTTATTTCAAGCTTAAGAAAAAAGACTTTTAATAGCGTGTGAACTATTTTTTGTAAGACAATAGCCCATGGGACAGTGATTAGACAGTATTGTTTAATAATAAGGTACCATAGTGAATAATTATCAGGCTTGTCCCAGGGCTATAGTCCTTAAAAAATAACCTTTGTGGGATTTTGTCATTTCTCGACATTATACTAAAAACTGTTGCTGCTGCACGAGATTGTTTTATTTTTAAACTAATCAGGAAGAAGTATTTTAAAGCAATGAAGGAAAGGATAAGAGTAATTAATAGTTCAGAAATGTATTTTTTGATGATTTCTAAAATCACCATACATAAGCAAGCGTTAACATATGACCCAAAAAGAGACTTTCAGTTGCTAAACTTTTGGAGGGGGTGTATTAGTACATACCCTACGACCCATTCACAAACAAGATTTATGATCTCAGCTGACAACTTTATACCACTATATAAATAAATTATTAATATACATTCCAATTTTTCATTTAAAGGGACTTATTTTTGAAATCTTGATCTTAAAGGGACTTAATCTTTTGACAGCTGCAATGATGTCAATCAGATGGAAATTTATTCAAAATATTCCGAAATCAAAATACAAAAGGAAGTGTTAACCTCTTATCATTCATTCCTGGGGCAATTCACAAGGTATAATATTCCGGGAATAGAGAATACTTGATCACTTCTCTCATCATACAGGTTTACTAAAGCGTCAAGTTTAATTGCCCTCCTGGACAAAAAATAAATTTGTCCATCAATAAATACTCTCCTACATCAAAATAATGATTGATTTAGACAATAAAATGATTAAGAATCACATTTTTACCTTCTTAATTACTAGTAAATCAAAACGAGAGACAATTTGACACAATGTCAACATAAGCGATAAAAACAAACATCATAATTGCCCTGTAAAATATTTTGGGTAGTTTTAATTAATCTAAGGGCGCTAATCAAACAGATCATAACGATAAAGAATTCTGAACAGGTATAATACAAATATTATATTGAGAAATGTATTTCCGTGGCCTATCACTCATGTTTTAATAGCGGGGGTTAGTTAGGTTAAAACATATCAAGGTATTATTTCAGTTAGTCGGAAGATTAAAACTCTTAGTTTCAGCATCTTCGTAACCTGAAGGTTAGCACTTTACTCATAAGATGCGATTTCGCAATACTATTTTTAAAATATGATTCGACTTTCTGGATTTCTTAATTTGAAATGTTTCAGATTTTTAAACAGTTTTGAGTGAAAACAAACATCAGACTTTTCGTTTCGTTGTTTTTTATCATGAGATACAGTTTTGGGTGTGTGTTTTATTGTATTTTTCAAATAAAACCCGTTGTGCTTTTTCATCAAATGTAAAATCACAAAAGGTTAGCTTTTCAGAATCAAAATTTTGTTACCCCTGCTTTATATAATGTTCTTTCTGGCTCCCTAGCCTAATAAGTGAATGGTTTTGACTCCCTAACCTTAGTAGGTAAAGGGGGGTTGACTCTAGATATAGTACATGTATGTTGATTGTATTTGACTCTCTACCCCAGGCAGAGGTTAGTAATTCACTCTCTAACCTAAGTATTGAGGGGGGGGGTTTGTACTTACGCACACACTGATGCCCACTCTTGGCGTAACCTTGACAACACTCATACACTGTCCGATATTCATTCTTCAGTTCTTGTCTGTACGCCATACGGTACTTCGTTCTGGAATAACAGAAATACAACTTTTTATAAACTTGTGAATTTTGAGTTTTGTTAGGAACAATGCCATTTAGGTTGTGTTATATGCAGAACTGGTCAATGTTTATTTATTTTAACAATTTGAACTAATAAAAAAATGAACTAAGTTTTAAAGACAGAGATGTTATCAGCTTAGAATATAATTCTGTTAATTAACAATATGATCGCCTAAAGGGGTTGAGTCAAAATGTCAAAACCTTCAAAAGAATGACGTTTAATTTTGTAAGCTGGGTTGTGGAAAATGAACATTTTGTTAGACTAAAGAAAAATACTGATTTCTGAACCTGGCAATTATAAGTAAATTAACATTATAGAGGGAGGGGGGGGGGGGGTCTCGAACCATAATATTAACTTTTTTTCATTTTTTCAAGTTAGCCTTTGGACGCCACCCCTAAATAGATTGGATTTCACCAGTGGTTTTTTGCAGGAATCAGTTCATTTTGTAATTAACATCTGCTTTTTGAAGTCCAGGGATTATGTGAATCTCTGCCCTTTAAATATAACTCGGAAAGTAAGTTTAGAACATCAGTTACAATTGTGGAAACATATCACATGTTAATTAAGAAAGCCAACCACGCAAGGCACATCGGAGAAGTACTAACAATTTTTGAACAGCCCTTTGAACTTAGTTTTCTAAACATAAGTGTTCTGGCTCAAAATAACTTCCCCCACAGAATTTCTCTCCAGGAAAGATGTTTTAAAAACTTTTAATTGCAAAACAATGTTTACATGATACGTCGATACATAACTTTGATTGACTCTATGATGTCATAAAAATTACATATTGGTCACTAAAGTATACAATATGCATGGCATTAACATGCAATATGTTACCACCTGCCATTTGCTACAGACACTGACTGCCGAACACTGAAAAACTGCCAAACACCATCCACTAAAAAGTTGTGTGACTATAACAATATGTCACCACTTGTGGAAGTGACATAATGAAACTAAAACTGGACTATCATATCTGTAACTACAAAATGCAAGTCAATTGTAAAATAAAAAACAGCACGATGAAATGCAAAAAATCACTGAAAAGTCAATTTATTTTTGGCTGGGAATGTCCAATCTCAGACCTTAGTCTGATATTATCCTTTGAATTGTGGTCCTAAGAATGAATATAGGCAAAGCATGAACATCAAATTCCATGGATCCATCAACTCATATATTAATAATTAATAATTTATTTTTTACTCATAATTAATTTTTCCTCAAAAATTCATTTTATATTATCATTTCAAGATAATGCTTGAATTGGGATTTATAGAGGCAATGTTAGTATTGCTTTTCTCCTTCACAAAGGTGAAACAAAAATATCTCCAACTTTTGAAATGAGATTCTTAAAACAATAGACCAACAAACATTAACAACACTTTTCTTGTTATCGAACAAAGTCAAGGTTAGCTATCAGTTGGAACCATTTGCTAAATTGTAGAAAAAATCAGAGAAAAAAGATTCTGAACCAGCTGGGAGTCTAATTTGACAGGCGCTACCTGACACTATAACAGGTACTCCAAGTTGTTAATCCAAATTCTGGGATTATCTCCAGATTATCCTGAATGCAGATAAGCATTTACAATATGTCAAATTGATGTTACAGAATTCTTCAGTTTTCTTGGTAAGAAAAACATATGTGTAGAACATCTTTATTCTTCAGTCTGTATTCTTCAGATATTTCTTAAGGAATATCGGCTTGGGAATTTTTACTTAAATTTAGCTTTGAACATCAAATAATATCTATGTCTTATGAATCTAACAGTAATAGAATTTGAATAGAATATGATTTAAAACCTTAGCTTTTAAAAAAACTGTACTCTCTGTATTTTTCGTGTGCGATTTAGTTTCACGCTTTTCGTGATTGTGGTAAAATCGCAAAATTAATCTTCACGAAATTGTCAATTAAATCCCTGGGGATTTGTGAAATTTTTTAATACCTTGACTTTTTCTTTGATTTTTTCTACAGCTAAACAGTCCAAACATTTAATTTATCTATTTTCATTGCAATGTTGTCATATACAGGAGCATATAGTCAGGGTGTAAAAGTAGGTGAGGCAAATTAAAATTGTTGAGGAAAATATTGAAATTGGTAAGGCAAATATCGAAATATTAAATTATACTATCATATGTCTTTTTACAATTAAAAAACTCTGAATTGATACCCTTCCATTCCTTTGACTTGGCTAACCTTTACACTCAGGGTACTTTTCCAGGAAAAATAGAGAGGCAATTGCCTCGCCTGGCTCATACCAGGCCATGCCCTTGATTTATAATATATACAGATCAAGGCAACCTGAGTGTGTGTAAGATATTGATTTGATATAATTTGGAAACTATGTTTCTTGTCTTCACCTTGAAATTCTTCTATGATTGTAACACTAAGAGTGATACGTCCCCTAGGGCCACATAAAAACATCTCAAAATCTGTATAAAAACATACAGTATTTTTCTCTCTGTTTATTCTGAAAACTGATTTTATATCTTTCACCATGGGACTGGGAATAAAGTCCATGTAGACAAATAATCCTGTTTCAAAAAAGTACTTCAATAACAAATCACATAAACCTTTAAAATTCCAGTGGTATAGTGATATCTGTATATCTAAATACCTCTTTAACCTAATATGAATGTGTTTTTTTATTTCTTCCGAAATAACCCTTATATACTTTCATTTTATAATAATATCATAACTTGTACAAAATCTACTAAAACATGAACCTTTTTCAGAATTTGAGATGAGAATTTAAGCAACAAAATGATTGGTCCTTTAAAATATAACCAGTGTTTAATAATTTTTGAATGAGACAAAAAAGTCAACCTGAAATATAATTACATGTATCTACATTTCAGACATTTAATTGTCAATCGCTTTTATTTTTTCGGAATGTTTCAATGGTATTTTCATAATACCTGTAAACCAAATCATTACCCTTAGCATGATATTTCTGTATAGCCCAGATTATCTTTGAAACGTTATATGTTTGGGAGAATACGCCACAAGGATTGGCGATAAACAGCATCTATTTTCGGTTGATTTGGTACAGAAAAGATATTTGAGTAACTGTGTGAAACACACTGTAAACATACTTATTTTCTAAAGTTCTAACTAATGTTACTTTCTCATGTAATTTCATGGAAAAAGCAACATTTTTTACATGTAAAATACCACGAAAATGAAATAAATAAATAATTGAATGAATCGAAGCTTGACATTTCTCCTGAACTACGCAAAATGTGAGATTTCTGGAAAGGCTAGAAAAACATCAATTCAATGCCCTATTAACCATTTGAACAGGTTTTTTCCAAAGTACATGCTTCATCGAAGCTGTTTAATTACCAAACCTGACTTATCTTTAAAATCAGTAAGAACTTTCACAAATTAAATTACTTTCCAAAAATATCTGCAGACTTTAAAAATCTGCACCGGAAATCTGCTAGGCGAGTTTTACGTAACTTTAAAAAGCTTTTATAATTCCATAAAAGTAACATTAATGGAATATTATGATCCATTATAATTTCATTAACAGATCATACTAAACCATAACACAAATTCGACATAAAATAAATCCGGGTCTCGTTCATAAAACAGATAGGATAATATCCAAAGAAAGGGGTTTCTAATCCCATTAGATATAAACACATAAAGTTTCATACCATGATCCTCTTCTGATCACATGACCAAGGATAAACCAATCAGCATTGACGATTAAAGCTAAGAATAAATCAATAACTAATATTAACTCTCAATAAAAATCTTCCCTGAAAGATCTATATATAGAACAAAATGAATCATATTTCTCAAAAATGCATATCAGGTTAGAGAGGAATCAGCAAGGAATTAAAAGATCAGAAATCAGATTCTAAAAGATGAAAAATTGTGATGAGAAATAGCATATGATTGAGAAAAAAGAGCGATATAGATCATTATCTTGAACTCTCGTGGCAGGTTCTAATCCTCCCTCCGTAATCAATAACATCAAAATCTCCCTCGCTATAATTGATTCTAACTGACTCACTATCCAACAGCCACAAATCCTAAAACTAATCCAAAAACATATCAATTAGGATAAGTTGTCTTAAGCGAAATGTTGTGTCTTGTTTTATCAAGAAAAACAAGTATGTAGAAAATGATATGAATGTTACGGGGCAGATTATAGAATAACATTAACAGTTAAGTGTTTTCTGTTCAAGACATTATCTAAAACTCCCTAACATTACTGAAGGTGTTGAGCAAGCAGTAGCATCGCCAGGATCAAGAATTTGATGAGGCCAATGTAAACAGGTGAGACAAATGCTGAGGCAAATATAAATAGGTGAGGCAAATATAAATAGGTGAGGCAAATATAAATAGGTGAGGCCAATATAAATAGGTGAGGCAAATGTAAATAAGTGAGGCAAATATAAATAGGTGAGGCAAATATAAATAGGTGAGGCCAATATAAATAGGTGAGACAAATGTAAATAGGTGAGGCCAATATAAATAGGTGAGGCAAATGTAAATAAGTGAGGCAAATATAAACAGGTGAGGCAAATGTAATCTAAAGGAGGTACATTACTCTCTTTGGACTCCATTCCACAGTTTTTAGTTTAAATAACATCTGAATGAATATATTCCTGTGAAATTTTGGTGAGGATTTTGCCTCACCTGCCTCAAGCCTCACTATTTCCATGATGACCAAATCTCATGGTATTCAATACACTTATACATGCGTTAGCATCATCGCATCTACACAGTTACGTGACAAGGAAAAAACACTTTATTTTTCTGATCATGTACTCTTAATAGGTCAAAGATAAGCCAAATATCGTTAATAGCTCATTAGTTTGCTATTTTTTACTTATATTCTAAGAATCTTTATGGGTCTCAACAGCTACTACTCTAACATCTTTAACTGCTAGTATATCATGGGGAACTTTCTTAATGTTAGCGCATAAATGATAAGAAAAACTCAGGGAAAATA